CCACTGTGCTCATCCTGAAGGCTTCATGAGCTCAGAGAGACTTGGTGCCCAGAATGAGGAATTACCATCTCCTGGTCATTTGGCTTACAGGAAGCCATTTAAACCTGTCACTTTAGGTGCTTCCTCTACATGGGCGGTGGCAGGGGTGGGGGCATTGGGGAAAACGGAGCATGTCTCCTGCTGAACACCCAGCGCAGGCTCTGCAGCCAAGGCCTTCTGCCCTGCAGGATTCTCCCTTTAGCTCCTCAGGGACTCAGCCAGCACAAGCTAGTGAGGGGGACCAGTCAGTGCGCTCCAGTCGGGCCATCTCTGAATTTGGCTGTTGTTGGAGTCTGAACTTGGAGTTGTGTGTGTGTGTGTGTGTGTGTGTGTGTGTGTGTGTGTGTGTGTGTGCTTGAGCACTCACTCTTACTTCCCCCATTCCCCCCACCTCTCCTCATATATCCCAGGCTGGCCTTGAACCCCACGAGCTTGTAACTGAGGAGAGGATGACCTTGAACTTCTGATCTTCCTGCCTCCACCTGCTCTGGGATAACACCTCTGTAGTGTCGGCATTACAAAGTGAGCATCACCACACCCAGTTTCATGTGTTGCAGGGGACCTAAAGCCAGGCTTCATGAATGCTGGGCGAGCTCTCTGCCAACAAGGCTACATCCCCAGTTCTGGGAACTTCCTCTTGATAGTAGAGGAAACCCACGCTCTAGGACATCAGTAGATTGCCCTGGTTCCCACAGCTCGTCAGCCAGTTCAGTGCAGGAGCCAGGCAGAGCATTCCCATTCCTCCAGGTCCGCAGTACCCAGCTTGGTGTGGTCTAAACCCTTTCGTTCCCAGAGCATCCGTCAGTCAGAGATAGGTGCCCTAGCCAGGGCACCCCCCCAGCCGCAGAGGAGAGAACAGTCCTGTTGGAGGTGCCAGGGGGAGGGGCATGCGGGGGCCAAGAATGCAGATACTCTGCCTGGGGGCCTGGGCTGGGCTGCCACAGAGGAGCCAGTGTGCCCAGACATTGGAGCTTTGTGAGCTGGTGCTCATGTGGGGACAGTTGTTTTCTTGACCTGACATTGTTTCAGGTTGACTGTCAGCTTCGGAGCCCCTTAAAGGCCAGTTCTCAGGAGCTGGTGGGGTATCTGGAGAGGGGTAGTTGAGGGCAGGGGCAGGAAGAAGAGAGGACCAGGGGCGTCCCATGAGCACCGGACAGGTCTCCTGGGAGGCTGCTAAGGAAAAGCCAGTCTTGAGGGAGGACATGGGTAGGAGAGAGAAGATGTCTTGAGACTTGGGGCCAGAGAAGACCTGTCCAGCATAATGAGTGGACAGGCCGGGCAGACCCGTCCAGGGGCCAGCGCCTTCCTGCCAGAGACCTGAAAGTCTCGAGAGCTCAACAGGGACCTCAGTTTACAAAGGCAGATTCGGAGGAGTCTCCAGGGGCCAGAAGGGCCCAAAGGTCTTTGGGACTGGTCACACTGGGTGGGGTGGGCCTGATGCACAGCTGTCCAGATGTGGGTGAGAGATAAGTCTGTTTATGGGGCACCCGGTTGGAGCGGGGCAAGGGGGTGGGGTGGGAAGGGGCTCCCGGCTGTGGGGCGGGCAGATTAGGAGGCGAGGGCATGAGTCAGGGGTTTGGGAGCCTCCCCCAGGGCACCTGCGGTGCTGTTAGAGCAGCTGGGAGCTCAGCCAGTCGCAGAGGACACCAGTGGCGTCGGCAGGACTTCATGAAGGACCCCCGAGGCTCCTGAGCAGGTGGGCAGGGCAGGGAGTGGCTGGGTGGTCCTTTGGCATCTGCCCTGGGGATTGGTTGGTACAGGCGGTCAGCTTCAATCTGTGACTAAGGGGTATGATCCCCAACCTCTGACGGGGGGCGGGGGGGGGGGGGGGGGGGTGATAGGATCATGTGCGTGAGGTCCCTCAGTGCACCCGTGGCAGGATGAGGGGGCAGCTCCCACGCAGAGGGTATGTGTAGCCGGAACGCACGCTGGGAGCAAAGCGGGGACCTTTCACCATAGGTCCTTCTTGTATTCTACCTGCCAGCCCCGTGAGCCCCGTGGACTCAGACCTCATTCCTCCCGGATCCCTAGTTCCACCAAATGTGGGGCATCCCCAGGCCACCCCATCTCTCACCCGGGAGACCCTTTGTCAGCCAACCTTGATTCCCATATGGGACACTTCTCGAGGGTCCACTTGGGGGCTTGGCACTGTCCCCACCCAGAGACTTTTTGAAGGGAAGGAGGAAGCCGCTCTCCACTGGGGGTGGGTGATCTCTTCACTCGGGCTAATTCTCTAGGAACTGGAGGCAAATCCGGGAGGGATGGAGATCACAAGCCTGACCTGGACAGCAGTGGCAGGCGTGATGGCAGACTGTGTGCCAGGCACAGGCCACGGGTTCTCTGCATGAACACGGGTTCTCTGCACTGTGGATCTATTACACAGGCATCATTCTTACCAGCTCTATTTTATAGATGAAAAACAAACACAAAACTGTGGTACAGATATTCAGTCACCTCTCTTAGCCAACAGAGTTAGTAAGCGACAGGGCCAGGGTTAAATAAACACAGGCAGCCCGACTGCGGAGTGCCTGTCTTAACTGCTGACTCCCGATCAACTAAGCTATTTTCTTCTCTGGAAGGCAGCTCCGTGCGGTGGGTGAAGAAATCTGTGGAGTTGTGGGCCAGGGAGGGGTTTAATCCTGCCTCTGAGAGCAATGTCCCGTGCCACTGACATTAGTGGTTTCAGTGGTCTGGGGACTGGGAGAAGCGAGGCATTGCAGATGTCTGTGAGAGGTGTGAGCTTGACAGCAGTGCGGTGCCACCAGGGAGCTGTCCCTGTCATCTGTCCCCTTCCCTCCCGTGCCTTCCCAGCTGGCGTGCCACCTCCTGAGCTCCAGGTGCCCCTTATCTGGCCTGGCTGGCAGCTGGTCCTCCAGGTGTTTGGGGTGCTTCCAAACTCGGAGCGCTGAGGGCTCGGGGGCCACTCTCTTATCAGCTCCAGGCAGAGCGGGGCAGGGCCAGCAGGCAACAACCTGGGCCTCGGGGCGCCCTTCAAGGCTCAGCTGGACTCCAGGCTCCTTTAGAGCCTTCTCTTCCCTCTGAGTTCCCAGAAGTCGGCATCTGACAGACAGCTTCCCCAGGCTTTTGGTCCAGGCAGAGTCAGGGAGGCAGCCCGGGGCTCTGGTTCCCTGGCTATGCCACACTGTCCCTCAGGAGAATTGAGGCTTCCATCTCAGGGTCACAGTGGGACTTTTGGCACCCGGGACCCGAGGCACAGCCAGGAAGCAACGTGGGCAGGTCCAGAGAAGGAAAAAAGAAAAATAAAGATAGACTAGAGGAACTGGGACAGAGCCTTTGGGAAAGGAAGATGGAAGAGACAGAGAGAGGAGAAAGAGGAAAGGGGAAAGGGAAATAGCCAGGGATACCAAGAGGCAAAGCCTCTGCAGAAGGTTGTCCCATTCTCAGACTTGAGAACACTGCTGTGGCTGTCACTTGCCACTCCCAAGGACCTGATGATGTCTCTCCCTCTCACAACCTCAGGACCCAGAAAGTTGTCTGAATGGTTCTTCCCCAATGTATACCCTGCTCCTTTGCCCCCTCTCCTCTGCCTTCTACTGCTCCCTGGACCTTGTTCCCTGCCTTCCACTCTCTTGCCCATGCTTCTCTCTCCTCCTCCCCTCTACCTCTCTGTCCTAACCTGCTCCTCTTGCCTAGGCTGGTCCTCTTTACCTGGTTCTCTGAGACCGAGACCCCTCCGGTGGTCACTGTGTCCTGAACCCGAGTCCTACTCTTCCTCCTGTGACACTTTCTGCAGCGTCCAGTACAGGTGGCCTCCTAAATTCCACCCATGTGAGGAACAGCTTAGGTCTTGCTCAGCTCAGCCTGCCGTGCTCAGCAGAGTGGCTACACGCAATGACCCCGTGGCCGAATGCTTGCCACCCCAAGGTTCTATGGGGCCATGAGTGAGAGAGAAAAGCCCCTCCAGACTGGCACATTAGGCGATCCGTCCCCACATTCTGCGGTGGGGACACCTTTGCCTTGAGAAAATGGAGGCTGAGGTTCCGTGGCCTCTAGATGGATCTTGGTCATTTTGAGTCTACGATGCAGAGACAGGATGGCTGCGAGGCGTTGGGGACTCTCTGAGGACTGAAGTGTTCAGGGACTTTACATTCAAGTGTCTTCCTTTCCAAAGGATGTGCCAGACAACTAGTTGCACACAAATCAATGAAGGAGCCATGCTGGACTAGGTCAGGGACCGGCAGGGTGGCTAAGGAGGGCCTGTGAAAGGACGATAATGGAACTGAGATAAGAGAAGGAATGAGATGTTGACGAAAGGGGCATCCAGGAGTAGACATTGAATCCACAACAGCCCTGGGGTAGGCGAGGGTCTTGGTGAGTGTTAGGAACTGGAAAGAAGCCAAGAGATGAAGGAGAAAGCAAGCCAGAGAGGTAGGGTTTGAATGGAGAGGAGAACGCAGGCTCATGTCCATCAGGCTCTGTGGGCTACTCCCAAGGGTGCTGCAACCTGTTGTCCAGGCAGAAGCAGGAGTTTTTCGAAGAGAATATGTATGGATATTCTCAGGGGAGCCGAGATCCTCAAGAGGGAATAGGTCACAGCCTGGGCCTCAGAAAGAGAAGATAGTCAAGGCCTAGTGCAGGGAGGACGGGGCTAGACATAACGCCATTTGACCACTAAGCCCCAAACACGCTAAGGAGAATTCAGCCCTACTGGCATCTCCTGTCCCTCAGCCCTCACCCACGTGCCTAGACACCTACAAGCTCAGTTTCTTCCCCCAAAACCCATTGCCCCCTTCTCATCCGTCTCGTATCCCCAGGCCTCCCTCCTGGCACTAAAAGTCATGTAACTCCCTTAGGGGGACCCAGAAGCAGGAGGAGGCCAACTGAGGGTGAATAACATGACTGTGCCTTATTCAGCCTGCACCCCTCTTCTAGGGACCTGAGGTGCAGGTTATGCTGGGGGCTCAGAGAGCCGAGGACGACTGGACACTAAGGACAGCAACATGGCGGACAGGAATGTAAGTGTCCCCTGACCCATGCAGGGCTCCCACCTCGGGCTCTGGAAGCCACCCTGGGCTTCTCCTCAGGGATCTTGGAGTACCACTTAACCCGACCTTGATGGCCTTTTCCCACAGGACCATGAGGAAATACTGGAGATCCCAGACCGGGACTCCGAAGAAGAACTGGAGCACATAGTAGAACAGATAGCATACGAGGAGGAAAGTACCCTTGTGGTCCAGATGCAGGAGCCAGAAGGTGAGGACTGTCGCTTACCTTCTGCCTCTACCACAGGAGCTGCTGGGTCCCCACAGGGACAGTAAGGGACAGTCCCAGTCCTAGGGCCAGTTCTCCCCACAATCCAGGGCTGATTGAAGGTTAAACAGTGCTTTGTTTGAAATGATCACAGGAGGTGACTGTGGGGCTGGGCCCCTTTCACGTGTGACAGGGCAGCCAGGTATGTCTGGGACAAGGGCATAGACCCAGCTGCTTCCCTGCCTGTCCCCTATGGGCATCGAGGCCAAGCAGAAGACCCGTTGCTGGACCTTCCTTCCGTCTAGACGGCTGGAGATGCTGAGGAATGGGAGAGAGCTGTGGGGACCCCTTGAGCAGAGAGCCCAGGAACCTGCACCACCTTCCTTGGCCTGCCCAAGGTCTTAAGTGGGGAGCCTGAGGCGGGGACCTGTTTACTGTCAACAGAGCTTAAGTGCTAGCGATTGGATTTGAAGTTAAGAGGCCCCCTTGGGAAATGAGGGTGGGGGGGGCGATATAAGGGGCTCGCCCTATCTGGGAGGTGTGCAGTAAGAGGCTCCCGGCTGGCTGGCGGCTTAGCTAAACAGGTAGGGAGAGGAAAGGATGCCTGGTCCCAGACATGGCAGCAGAGGGAGGGGATGCTAGAATAGTTTCGAACACCGACCTGGGGCTCTCTCTTCCTAGCCTCACCGAGGAAGAGGGTCATGCTAGGGGCTCAGATCACCATAACGAATCCAGGGGTCCTTAACAAGGTTTAGGTGGAGAGTGACATATCCAAGCTAGGCCCAGAATAGGCATGGATGTGAGGCTGGGCACAGGTCCCAGTCCAGAGACAGTGGATGGAGGGAGTGGGTTTGGGGTCCCTGAGGCTCCCCAGAAGTACGGCAGGGCCTGAGTGAGGGGCCAAGTCACAGGCAATGCTAGCTGGACCCTGGGTTTTCAGCTCTTCCCACAGAGACAGACACCACAGACTACACCCCAAGCAGAACCTCCACGTCGCACCCAGGCTCCGCTCAGGTGAGGACTCAGACTCCATCCTCTTTGTCAAGTTGCCTTGAGATCCATTGTGTAGCAGAGGCAGAGATTCAGGCTGGAGGAGACACCCTCCCCCCCTCCCCCAACACGATGGAGGGAACGTCGGTGGAAGGCAAGGGGCATGCGCACTAAGAAGGAAAGGGGCTCTTTCTGAGCTTGCCCATCCAATAGTTTCCTTACTGCTGAGGATGAAGCCAGGACTTTCAGGCTTGGCTGGGCTAGATCCTCACTGGGGCCACATAGGATCAAGTGCATACCCTCTTCTGTCTCAGCGTCCAAGTCCCCACTGAGCACCAGACTGCTTAGCTGTTTAGGCAATTGGGTTCTTAAGCTACGACCGTGATCATAACTATCCAGCCCAGGACAGTCTGAGCCATGTTCCTCAATACTCTTGGAGACAGTAGGCTGACCCAGTGGCTTCCCGAGTCCCTTCAGCATCAGTTACCGAGGCCCAGGTTTCTGGCCAAGAAGCTGTGCGAGGCCCCGCTTGGACCGGAGGCTCATGCCTCTTCTGAAATATGAGAATGGCCTGCTGAGAAGGGTGGACATGGAGCCAGGGGAGTGGCCCAGATCCCCGGGACCCTTGCACATCTCCCCTTGCTCTGAGCAGGAGGCCTGTCCTGGTCCTTCTACGGCCCAGGGTCTTTTGAAAGCCCAGCTTAGGGCTGAGTCCCTCGGGACCTAGGCTTCCTGTCTCCCCACGGGCTTGCCCATGGCTTGATGGACTAACTCGGGCCACGCACCTCAGGTCTACGTGGAGCTGCAGGAGCTGATGATGGACCAGAAAAACCAGGAACTACAGTGGGTGGAGGCAGCGCACTGGATAGAGCTGGAGGAAAACCTCCGAGAGGATGGCGTGTGGGGTCGTCCTCACCTGTCATACCTGACCTTCTGGAGCCTTCTAGACCTGCAGAGAGTCTTTTCAAAGGGTGAGTCCTGCTGGGCCCTCGGTGGCTACTGCACAGACGGCTCCCTGGGGCAGCCACTCTGCTCATCCCTTCACTGCCCACAGGCACCTTCCTCCTGGATCTGGCAGAGACATCCCTGGCTGGGGTGGCCAACCAGCTCCTAGACGGCTTCATCTATGAGGACCAGATTCGGCCTCAGGACCGAGACGAACTGCTCCGGGCCCTGCTACTCAAACGCAGGTATTCTTGCCTGCCAGGACCTGGGCTTCATGTCCTAGACCATGGCCACCCATTTCCATCCTCATTGTCCTTCAAGAGGAGACTGATTTCCTTTCTCTAGGGTCTCTCTAGGAAGTTCTGCTTAGCCTCTACCTTCACCCCTCCCACCACTAGTGACCCTTTCATGGAATATTCAGTTCAAATTGCTTACTCAGCCACCCGTCACCTGTACATTCCGCAGCCATGCCGAGGACCTGAAGGATCTGGGGGGACTGAAACCTGCAATCCTGAACCGCTCCGGGGGCCCTTCTGAGCCTTTGCTTCCCCAGCAGCCATCGCTGGAGACCAAGCTGTACTGTGAACAGGTGAGGCCAGGATGAGGTTGGAAGTGAGAAGGTTTGGGAGAAGAAAGGACTGGATGCTCAGATCTCCCAGTTCAGTGTGACCCCAGAACCGCCTTCCTCACCTTCCTCCCCACAGACAGAGGGGGGCCAAGGACCCTCGACATCTGGGATTCTGAAGATCCCCCCAAATTCAGAAACCACACTGGTGCTAGTAGGTGAGAGTCCTCCCCCCCCCCCCGCCATGCGTCCTGCTTGGGGCCCCAGGCAGTCCCCTCTCTTGAATTCATACTGAATTCATACACCGTGAGCCCCAGAGGCCTGGCCTCACCGCCTGGTGCCCCCCACAGGCCGGGCTGCTTTTCTGGAGAAGCCTGTGCTGGGCTTCGTGAGACTGAAGGAGGCTGTGCAGCTGGAGGACCTGGCGTTGCCGGAAACTGTGCGCTTCCTTCTCGTTCTGCTGGGACCTGAGGCTCCTCATGTCAACTACACCCAGCTGGGCAGGGCTGCGGCTACGCTCATGACAGAAAGAGTAAGCAGGGGCCATGCGGCTGGTTAGCCAGAGAGCTGGTGGGAGGGCAGAGGTGGTCAGGTCCTCCCCTGGGGACTGGCCCAGCTGACTTTAGATCCACTCTTTGAATTCCGCCTGTTTCTGGCCACTTGAGTCTTATCCTGGATTACATTGGACTGGCTGGTCCAGCCTGGTCCAGCCTGACCCACTCTGACTTGGTTCTAGCTGGCCCAACCTGCTGTGTGTTGGGCCCATCAGGAACGCTTTAGTTCCTTTTCCCCACCCAGGGTGTCCTTCTCCCCAAAGCTGGTCCTTAGAGGTCAGAGGGACCAGAAAGAACCACATCTAATAGTGACAGCCATAGTCTTTGATGGCTGGTCCCTAGCTATGCATGTCTAGGTTTTTTTGTTTTCCCCACCCCGGATTCCCAGGGTGTAGCCCAGGATAGCCTCAAACTTAAGCCCTCCTAGTCTGCAGTCCTCTTAGCTGAGTGCTAAGACTACAGACCCCACCAGGTGGTCCTGCTGCCATGGGGCCTCTTATCTACAGTCTCGGTGTGCCCCTGACCCTTTCTTTCTCCCGCCACAGGTGTTCCGCACAACTGCCTACCTGGCCCAGAGCCGAGAGGAGCTGCTGAGCTCCCTAGAGGACTTTCTGGACTGTAGCCTGGTGCTGCCGCCCACAGACGCCCCTTCGGAGCAAGCTCTGCTCAACCTGATTCCGGTGCAGAAAGCGCTGCTCAGAAGGCGTTACCTGCCCAGCCCCGCCAAGCCAGACCCCGACAAGTTCAAGGGGCTAGGTAGGTACCCGTTCTGTCGGGGACAAGCCTTCCCGAACCCCCCGGGGGTCCTTGGATCCCCGGCATAGCGCCCCCCCCCCGTCCCTTTCAAACAGTTGTCCCTGTGGCCAAACTGTCTCATCGTGTTCCCACCCTCTACCACAGACTTGCATGGGGGCTCAGGGGACCCTGGTGGCGAAGACGACCCTCTACGGCGCACAGGCCACATCTTCGGAGGCCTGATCCGTGACATCCGGCGCCGCTATCCTTACTACCTGAGCGACATCACCGACGCACTCAGCCCCCAGGTCCTGGCTGCCGTCATCTTCATCTACTTTGCCGCCCTGTCACCTGCCGTCACCTTCGGCGGCCTCCTGGGTCAGTGATAAGTAGTTACGGTCTCTTCCCCACCCCACCTCCCACCCCGTGACGCTGACCTCTAACTCTCCGACCTCTGCCTTCTCACCCTTGACCGCATCTGATGCTCAGTCCGTCCTGCCCCGTGACTTGCTCTCGCTCCCTGCAAGCAATCTCTCTATCTTGATGCCTGTGTGGCTTCTCCCCCACAGGAGAAAAGACCCGGAACCTAATGGGGGTTTCGGAGCTGCTCATCTCCACGGCGGTGCAAGGCATTGTCTTCGCTCTCCTGGCGGCGCAGCCCCTGCTCGTGGTGGGCTTCTCAGGGCCCCTGCTGGTGTTTGAGGAAGCCTTCTTCTCGGTAGTGTGCCGTCCGGGCCCCACTCTGCCCCCAACCCCGTAGCTGACCCCTCCTGGCGCCCCGCAAAGCGACACCCCTGTATTCATAGTCTGACCGGAACTCCTCCCTCTCACCGTCTGCAGTTCTGCGAGAGCAATAACCTGGAGTACATCGTGGGCCGCGCGTGGATCGGCTTCTGGCTCATTCTGCTGGTGGTGCTGGTGGTGGCCTTTGAAGGCAGCTTTCTGGTCCGATTCATCTCCCGCTACACCCAGGAGATCTTCTCCTTCCTCATCTCCCTCATCTTCATCTATGAGACTTTCTCCAAGCTGATCAAGGTGGGGACCCCGGGGGCGGGGGCGGGGGGCCGGGAATGCTGACCCTCACACATAGCCTGTGTGCGAGGGGGCGTTACCACGCATGTGTCTGTACTACGTGACTGTGGCCGTGTTGCTATCTGTGTGTGCAGTCATGAACATGGACCCATGTATGTTCCGGGCTTCACCTAAGACTGTGCAGTTGGGTTTCTTGGGACCGTGTAAAGGCTTATGACTCTGCTCACGCCCTGACCGGTCGGAGGGACTGTCTCCACAGCTTGCCTCCGTCTCCACAGCTTGCCTCCTCGCCAAAAAGCTCTACCCATCTTCACCTCTACGCTGTATATGGAAGGGCGACCTTTACATGTCCTGGTTCTGTTATTTTCTGGTTCTTTTATTTTCTGAAGCTCTTTTAAGCAGATTTTCTTTGTTTGTTTTTCTGGGGATCCAATCTCTTGCCTACTAGGCAAATGCTCTCACTGTCACCAGCTCCTCAAGCCATTTTCATAGACCTCCTCATTATCTACTGCTGCCTTCCCAACTTCTCACCTTCCCCACAACGCCTGGAAGCAGATGCCTGCACGTGCGTTCTCATTGCTTCCTTGACCCTTCCCACACAAGGAAGGGTTCTTCATCCCTCCTCCCCCACCCCTACCCCCTCAAAATAACCAAGCTGGCTAATATGTCAGGTGAGAAAGAAGGTAGACGGACAGATGGATGCACGCGGGGGTGAGATGGATGATGGATGGTGGGGATGGTTGTGTAAGGTGTGGGCAGCGGATAAGAAGATGGCTGTACAGACAGACGGTGATGGTGCTCACGCAGTCACTCATCCGATGCTGCCTAGCTCAAGCCAAGGCTCAAGCAGGAACTGGGAGGAGCCCTGTGCTTTGTCTGTTACAGATTTTCCAGGACTACCCGCTACAGCGGACCTATGTTGATGTTCCGATAAAACCCAAACCTCAGGGCCCTGTGCCCAACACAGCTCTCTTTTCCCTCGTGCTCATGGCTGGTACCTTCTTATTAGCCATGATGCTACGGAAGTTCAAGAACAGCACCTACTTCCCTGGCAAGGTCAGTGTACCCCTAATCTTACCTTCACCAACCCCCTAGCTTCTCCAGCACCCTTGCCCCTGCTTCCTACCCCAGCTCCCTGTTCCCAATTCGGAAGCTCAGCAGCCCTTTTCTGACTCAGGGTTCATGTTTCAGGCGGTCCCATCTCCAAGAGCCAAGGAACCAGGGATAGATGGTTCTCGGGAGGGAGGGAGGGGGAAAAGCCAGGGTGGGGCCAGAGAAAGAAGGAAGGCAGGGACAGTTGGGGTAAAGACAGTCATTGGTTTTTGATGGACCCCCTCGGGTTGAGCGGAGGCCCTGGTAAATGTAGGATGGGAGGCAGAGTATGGACCTAATGGTCCCTCCGTCCACTTACAGCTGCGTAGAGTCATCGGGGACTTCGGAGTCCCCATCTCCATCCTGATGATGGTCCTGGTAGATACCTTCACCAAGGACACCTACACCCAGGTGAGTCCTCCTCATCCTTTGCCATGCCACCCTAGCCTCCATTTTCTTCCCCTCCTCCGTACCCAGCCAGAATGGCTTTTCCCAGCCCAAAGCCAGCTGGAATGTTCTTTCCCCATCCTTGTCTTCCAGTATTCCCTCAGGACCCCTCTAGCACAAGCAAGAGCCTGGGTTGCCCTACTCTTTTCCTTCCTTTGCCCAGGGCAGTAGGAGAGAGTGTGCTTTGGGCCAGGCAGATTCAGGTGAACCTCAGCTCAGCCTCCAGAAAGCTGTGTGGCATGGGACAAGTTATATAACCTCTGACCTTGTTCGCTTGCCTATAACATGGAGAACGAGAAGACACATACAGAGGGATTAGAGAAGTAGCTAGGAACAAAGTAAATGTTCAGTTAAACAGGTTCTTGAGCATTTCAATCCAATGCCCTGCCCCAGGACCCTGGCTTCCCTGACCCCATGTCTCCCTATCCATCTGGTCTCACATTCTCACCAGCTGTCTCCTTTCACAGAAACTCTCAGTGCCTGATGGCCTCAAAGTGTCCAACTCCTCTGCCCGGGGCTGGGTCATCCATCCCCTGGGTTTATATGGAAATTTTCCCCTTTGGATGATGTTCGCTTCTGCCCTGCCCGCCCTGCTCGTCTTCATTCTCATATTCCTTGAGTCTCAGATCACCACGTAAGAGCGAGAATAGAGGCTTGGCCAGGAAGGGCTGGAGGCAGGGAGGGGAGCAGGCTCTGGGCCAACAGGAGACTGGCCAGCAGCCTTCTGCTAGCAGATGGAAGTGTCGACCATCAGAGGCCTGTGTCAGTTTGGTGGCCCCTGGCGTAGCGTCATCTGAAGACCGTATAAACTGGAAGCTATGGGATGAGCTGTTGGATGGTGCGGGGAGCCCAAACAGTCAGATTCTGGAAGTTGAGATTCCAGGACTTGGGCAGGAATGTCTAAGGGTCTTCTGAAGACTTCTAGCCCTCAGAGTCTAAGTTCTCAAACAGCCAGAGGGAGGGAGCTAGGAATGCAAAGGGAAATGGGAACAGAAATCAAAAAGAGGCCCAGAGGGACACCAGTGTGAAGGAAAGAGGAGCCTACAGAGAGGGCCAGCTCACCAGACTTCCTTCCACCCCCAGGCTGATTGTCAGCAAGCCAGAGCGCAAGATGATCAAGGGCTCCGGCTTCCATCTGGACCTGCTGCTGGTGGTCGGCATGGGTGGGGTGGCAGCCATCTTTGGGATGCCTTGGCTCAGTGCCACGACTGTGCGCTCTGTCACCCACGCCAATGCCCTCACAGTCATGGGCAAAGGGGCTGCAGCCCAGATCCAGGAGGTCAAGGAGCAGCGGATCAGTGGGCTCCTGGTCTCCCTGCTCGTGGGTAAGTGAGGCCAGCTATGTTCCTGTACCCTGCTCCACTCCCTCCTGGGCCTTCTACTTAGGACTGGAGGGGGGCTCTTCCCAGCTCCACCATCTCCCCTGCCCAGCACGGACTCTTTCTCCTGGAATTGGGAGCAAGTCTTCCATCCCTTCTGTTCGGCATCTAGGTCCCTATACACCGGTTACTCACAGGAGGGGATCTAGCAGAAGTGAGGGAACACAAGGACCCTGGGACACTGTGATGGGCATTGGCGTAGGGCAGGAGGGCTACACTGCTGGCCTTTTTGCCAGATCATACCCTGCTTCCTTCCCCATGCTTGGCCCACAGAAATGTAATAGACTATGGGTTTTTGCCCTGTCCTGCTGCTGTTTGGGTAACTTCACTGGCCTCTGGGCCTCAGTTTCCCTATTCGCACAGTTAGAAAATTTATTAAATCTCTGAGATTCTTCTCTAGGGCTAACAGTCTAAGGGATGACAGAGCATCCCTGGACTCCATAGGGTTCTCAGGAAGCTGAGCTCAGCTGGGCGAGCAGTGTTATAGTCACTGCTCTATGATGGAGAGCTCTAAAGTTCCCCCTTCCCTCCCTCCCCTCCCTTTCCCATCTGTAAAGGACGATGGGGGCGTTATAGGGTGAGGAGGACAGGCTCCTCTTAGCTGCGATTGCTCCCACTAGGCTCAGGGAGTGAGTGAAAGGCAGGCAGGAGTCTGACTACACTTCCAAGCGTAGTCACGCTGAGCCTATAAATAGCTGCTGCAGGAAAGGGTGGCCTGGCGCTTGTGTGTCTCACAGTCCCAAGCATGAGCTAAGCCCTGTTGATGCCAGTCCCTCGGTGACCCGAACTGAGAGTGTGTCCCTCCGTACAGGACTGTCCATCCTCATGGAGCCTATCTTGTCCCGCATCCCCCTGGCTGTGCTGTTCGGCATCTTCCTTTACATGGGAGTCACATCCCTCAGTGGCATCCAGCTCTTTGACCGCATCTTGCTCCTGTTCAAGCCCTCCAAGTACCACCCAGATGTGCCCTTTGTCAGGAGGGTAGGTGGCTTTGAAGCCATCCAACCAGGGTAGGGTAGGGGTGTCAGGCCAGGCGGACACTGACCTCGGCTTCCCCACAGGTGAGGACCTGGCGCATGCACCTGTTCACGGGCATCCAGATCATCTGCCTGGTCGTGCTGTGGGTGGTGAAGTCCACGCCTGCCTCCCTGGCCCTGCCCTTTGTCCTCATCCTCACTGTGCCTCTGCGTCGATCCCTGCTGCCACTCATCTTCAGCCAGCTGGAACTCCAGTGTGTGAGTAGCAGCGGGGGGGGGGGGGGGGCCCTGGATGGGGAGAGGGAGGAAGGAACAGGGACAGTAGACAGCTTGGTAATGTGAAGTGTGTGCCTTGCAGCTGGGGAGACCGCAGAGTGAGGCGGTTGGGCGTGGGTCTAGAAATAGAGTGTCTTTCAGTTGGTAGGATGTTCAGCTCCCATGGACAGGATCCTGGGCTCAATTCCCCAGCACCACGGACGCTGCATATAGAGGCGGGTGCTTATAATCCCAGCACTAGGGAGGTAGAGGCAAAGGAATCAGAAATTCCAGGTCACCCTGGGCCACGTGGTTCAAAGCCAGCCTGAGTTACATAAGACCCCATCTTAAGGGGTGGGGGGAGGGGATCTGTGTCCAGAGCCTTTGTCTTAGTCTTGCTCTGCTGGGTCCTAGCATATGATCTGGAGTGAGTGACCTCATTTCTGTATGCCCCACCAGGGAGGAATAGTGACAGGTTGAAAGCGTTAGGAGGCGCACACTGTGCGTTCCACATGAGCCCCGGTGAGCAGTTAGTTTTGCCATCGTCCAAGTTATCTGGGACATTCAGTGTGGGCTGGTCATGGTAAAGGGATCCCCTGCCAAGGGGGTGACTTTTGCAGGTCCTTCTCACCAGACACCCCCCCCCCCGGGGCCCGCTCGCCCTGTGTAAAGGACTCATCTATACTCCGAGGGCAGCACAGGGCTTGTCCTGGCTGCTTCCTAACTCAAGCCCTGGGAGGGGCTCATCCTGCCCCCGGTCTCTCATCCTTTCTCCCTCCCACCCCTCTAGCTGGATGGTGACGAGGCCAAAGTGACCTTTGACGACGAGGAAGGTCTGGATGAATATGATGAAGTGCCCATGCCTGTGTGAGGGGCAGGGCAGGCCCAGGGCCACGACCATTCTACTTTCCCACCCTCCCAGGAAGGGCATTCACCGGCATCTTGAATGTGGGAGGTTGGGGAGGGGTGGAAGGGTTGCCTAGGAAACTCTCTACCTAAGATACTTTGGATTTTCTGGCTGGAGATGACCAGAAGCTAGATCAGGGAATTGGGGTCACAGTCTCTTGAGACTGTATAGGTCCCCATGCTAGAAAAGTTAGGTCTGGGCCTTCTCCCTTTATGGCACAGTTATAACTAGCAAAGGGGGGAGATGGAGAACATTTTTCAAGTTCCTGCTGGTTGTGTGGCCTTACATGAGTCCCTTGACCTGTCTGGCCCCTGCTTCTTGCTCTATAAAATGAATACATTAGTAATTATGCTCATGATCACACAGCCCCTGGGCTACACAGCGGGGACCTGGGCCTCCTGACCTGGAGGGCACAGCGCTATCCTCCATCTTGCACCCATTCTTCCCTGCACAGAAATATCCGTAATGACTTCCTCCCTTCCCTTCTCTGTCCCAGCCCCACCCCAAGACCCTCTTCTCTGCATCCGGTGAGAATAAGGTACAGGTGAGGGGCTGGGACTCAGATTCCTAAGTGCTTGCTCCCTCCTATCAGGCACTCTTCATTCATTCACTCATTCATTCATTCATTCATTCATTCATTCATTCATTCATTCCATAGCCTAGTGGACACAGTGGGTCAAACTCCCGCTGCATGGGACTTGCCTGCTCTGCTCTGGACTTGGGTGGGGATGGAGGGAGGATGGGAGGGAGGATTGTAATTTATTAACTGTGTATTTTCTAAGCACTCCTCTGTGCCCATGTGGTTTTGCCCATGTACCCAGCCCCCATGAGAGACCCGCTGTGTCCAACTCCAGCTAACCTGACTCTTGGGGGGAAAGTCAAGGTTTGACCAATTGGAGTAGGAGACAGTAGCTTGCTCAGAATATGGATAAACATCTTTTTTTTTTTTTATAAAAAAAAAAAAAACTTAAAAAAAAAAAAGAGTTGAAATAACTGGAAACTTGTGAGAGAAACAGAAAATCTGAGTGGACGGGCAGCAGGAGGCTCCCAGTGAAAGATTCTTAGGTGATTTGAAAGCACAGACCTGCCTTCCGGCGCATCACCACACGATGCTTGTGTTCTCGTCAGTGAAATGAGGACAAGGATGGTACCTACCTTGTAGGGGAATTAGGAGGATTGATTGACAGTGTAGGGAAAGCACTTGCTGAGCGCAGAGCCCGCCTTGGGGGGGCTGCTGGGGTGACTGTGCCATTGGGCACACCCCTGTTCCCCTCCTGCCTTGTCCTGCTCCTTGAACATTGCCAAAGAGAGTGGGGATTGTGCCCCCCTCCCAACTCTGCCAGCGCCCTTCCCCGCCGTGCTTGGGAATTAGGTTTTGCCAATAAATGTGTTTGTGTTAAAGGGGTGCCTTGCTTGAAGTCCTTTCTCAGAGTTGGGGTGCCCCTGGGGTCTTGACTGGACCAAGAAGACATCATGGGTGGAACCCATGTGGGCCTTTGGCCATGGGAGACCACTAGAATCATGGTGGACATGGCCCTGAGCCTAAGCATTGGGCCAGTTCCCCTGGTGGGGAGTGATGAATTCTGAGATGAATTCGCACTCCATACAACCTTGCTCTAATGAGTGTAAGGTCTCATTACACTCATGGAGGTGGGGAAAGATGCTGTCAGAAGACCTCAAGTCTCTCTCGCTCTCTCTTTTTTTTTTTTTTTTTTTTTTTGTCGTGAGCCACCATGTGATTGCTGGGAATTGAACTCAGGACCTCTGGAAGAGCAGCCAATGCTCTTAACCACTGAGCCGTCTCTCCAGCCCCTCCCCTGACCAGCTCTGTATCCAGAAGCTGGGTGGTGCCTTTTGAGAGCAATCACCTCACCGAAGGACACCAAGGCCATGAGAGGAAGTGAGCTCTCTAGAGGCTGCCTCTATCCCAGAAACAGCATTTCTTGACCAACTTTCCATTTGCTCTGACTCTGATCCCCTTTAAAGTCTCTGCTCCTGCCCAACTGCTTCCTACAGTTCCAGAGTGTTCCTAGGTAGGGGTGGGGTGGGGTTGTACCTAATCCTGGAAAAGAGGATGCAGGCATGTAAGACCTTCCCGTCCTCCTCAACCTTCAGAAAGAGGTCAGCAGGGCCTCCTGGCTTTCTTCCCTGGGTTTTTTTTATAGGAGCTGACTACCCTGAGCTGACCCTCCCAGGCTGGGGCAAAAGGCCTGGGTGCTAACTGGGTCCCAAGGAGAGCCATCTCCAAAGCCTGCTTCCCATTCGAACCAGCTGCACATCCCCCATGGGGTTAGGCCTGTCCCAGGGCTTTTGACCCTCACTCCCTATTTCCAGTGTCTGAGACTGAGACAGGCCGGTTGAGGTCAGAGGCTCAGCATGTTCCCAGCCTACAAGGCCTGGATTTCCTGCTGGGCCTATTCTTAAACATCCTTCCACTCTCCTGAGGGAAGAACCAAACAGATTTAGGAAACAACTCCCACCTTAACCTGCCCTTGAGAGTTACACCCATCTTCATTAGGTTTGTTTGTTTTTATTTTCTTTTGAGACTGGGTCTCTTATAGCCGAAGCGGGCCACAAACTTACCATATATCAGATTCACCATGCTTCTGAGCACTGGAATCATGTATGCATGAATTCCACCACAACCCAGCTTTCAAATCCTTTTCTGTCATGGTGCTGGGAACACCCCCTCAGCCTGGTCTATGCCAGGAAAGTCCTGTTCACTGAGCTGCTGTTCAGGACCCACTCTTCCAATCTGTGTTTGTTTGTTTGTTTGTTTGTTTGTTTGTGACAGGGTTTCTCTGTGTAACCTTGGCTGTTCTGGATTCGCTTTATAGACCAGGCTGACCTCAAACTCAGGGATCTGCCTGCCTCTGCCTGCCTCAGCCTCCCGAATGCTGGGATCAAAGGTGTGCACTACCACAAGCAGCCACCTGAAGAACCAGCCTGCCTCCAATTTAGGCTTGAAAGCCATCTTACAGTAAAGACAAAGCAAGCTCATTCCCGAGTCTGATTAAACTTGTTTCTCAAGGATTGGGCTATGCCCCGCCTGCAACCTTAACTACAAACGGTTCTGTACTGCCTATTTCAGGAAACAGCAACCAGGTCTCTGTTTCAAAAAGTTGTTTATAACCACCTTGCAACCCTACTCTGGTTTCAGAAGGGTTATGTGACTAACTATGACATAACCTTTGTTAAGCCCATCTTAAGCCCTGTCTTTGCTTCAGGAGGGACTGACTTATGTCTTGCTCCTGTAACCCTGCCACCTATCTTGCCCACCAAATTCCCCATTTGGAAGCCCCCTACCCCTGAGCTGGCTTCCTGAACCCCGCCTTAGGAGGAGCATCCCGGGTACACGAATAAAAAAGCTTGCCTTAAGTACTATGGCCATGATGACTTAGGGCAGTGGTCTTTCTCCTCCCATTTCTGGGATTAGCACCGCCCTCTCCAATTTGGAATCTCTATTGTGAGAGTAGCTTTTGGGAGTGGGTGAGGCTGGGACCCTGGCTTAGACTCCTGACAGCACTGCTACTCATAAGGGATGGGATTCTAGCCCCACCACTGACAAGTCAGTTCCAACTTTTCAGCCCAATCCCCAGGTTGTTCGTGGGTCTGTCCTGGAGGAGTCATTTAGCCTTAAAAGAGGGGAGCAGAACTACAGGAGGGCTAGAATATGGGGGTCTCAGCCTACTCCCTACCCACCTTACCTAGCAAACATACACTCCGAGGATTTATGCTTCCTACCAATTTTTTTTTCCTGGTTTTTTTGAGACAAGATTTCTCTGTGTAGCGTTGGCTGTCCTGGACTCGCTTTGTAGACCAGGCTGGCCTTGAACTCACAGAGATCCTCCTGCCTCTGCCTCCCTGTGTGCTGGGATTACAGGCGTGTGGCACCGAGCCTGGCTCTGTCAATCTTCCTTGAAAGTAGATGGGGTGCATTATCCAATTGGAAGATGCTGGGTCACAGCTAATCTAGCCTCCTCGAACCTCAAACATTATCAGATACTAGAAAGCCTTTTTATTTTTAAATTACATTTATTCATTCAGAAGACAGAGACAGTCAGATCTCTGAGTTCTAGGCCAGAGTGGTCTACAGAATGGGACCCCATCTCAAAAATAATATTACCATGGTGGTGTGCACCTTTAATCCCAGCAGCTGGGAGGCAGAGGCAGGCAGATCTCTTGAGTTCGAGGCCAGCCTGATCTACACAGCAAGTTCTAGGACAGCCAGGGCGTTTATAGAGAACTCCTGTCTCGAAAAACAAAAAGTATAATAATAACAATAATAACACTAATGTTAATGTTGTTGTTATTATTATATTTATTCTGGCCTGAGCTGAGGTTAGGGCAGTCCCGCACCAATGCCATGGTCCAAGAGTGGAGGTCACAGGAATTGGTTCTTTCCTTTCTCTATGTGGTTTCCGGACATGGAACTCAGGTCATCAGTCTTGGTGGCAAGCACCAAGACCTACTGAGCTACCTTGCCAGCCCAAGGAAATCTTGCAGGCCGCTAGAAGCCTCCGAGATGGACCTCCAGGTTGGTACAAGCCCCGAGGGCCTGTGGACTCTCATTTTCTGCCTCTCCCCACAAAGCTGCCCTGCCCTGCCCTGCCCTGCCCACCCACTCCCTCCCTCCAAGAAATGGCTACCTTTCGCTTTACTTTGTAGTTTTTCACTTGTCTGTGTGTGCTTGTGCAATTGTGTGCGGTGGGGGTGGGGGGGTGTTCGTCCACATGTGTACAATATACAGGTGGAAGCCGGAGGTGACACTCCCCACGGCTTGTTGCCTCATCTTCCATTTTAGTTTGCCATGTGTCTGGGGTGGGAGGTTATTTGGTGTGTGTGTCTGTGTGCGGGTACGAGAAGAGGAGAATGCTGAGTGTCCTCCTCTACGGCTCTCCGTCTCATTCATTTGATGGACGGTCCCTCCCTCAGCCGGGAGCATTTTGACTAAGCTGGCCGACAAGCCCCCTGTGTTTGCTCCTCA